CTTTAGAGCAAAAACACCCATTTTGAAGTCAGAGAAAACTTGCAACCAGTACCATCAGCACTAATACCAGGAGCTGCTGCTCATTGGATCTGTAAAAAATAACTCTTCTGATTAGCAGGAAAGAAATGCAGCTAATTAACTACATTGACATTATTTCATATCTAAAGCAACTTAAAAAATCTGTAATGAGCATCAATTGTTGGACAAAATGATTTTTTCCAGTTTCTCCTACTTAAATCTTAATATTTCTCAACAATCCTAAGGCAGAAGAGGCACCTCACTTCACTTAGACATGCGAGAAAAAAATATATGCAAACGATAAAAGGGGACATTCTTCACTGGTTTGAGTTACAAATAGTTCTTAAAAAGGACCATTTCAATTCAAAATGCAGTGTATTTATAATAATAAAACAACCTAAATATTCCCAGAGAAAATTTAAAATAAAAATAAAATGTATGCTGATATTATGCCACATTACACAATTATGATACATGATATTTACAGACAGTTTTAAATAATAAGGGAATATCTTACCAAATTTAAAGCAAAAAAAAAAATCTGTCAAGTATGTATTATAGAGACTGGTAGGTAGAGGCTAAAATGTTTGTAGTATTTTTTTTTTTAAGATTTATTTTATTTATACAAGAGCCAGGGTACAGGCCAGATGCGCGGGAGGGTGAGAGGATTCACCAGAGCCAGAGTGGGGAACCAAACAGGCAGACCGATGAAATACACTGCTGAGGGGAGCAGCAGGTGAGACAGGAGGAGAGGTCTGCTCGCCATGTGGGTTGCTCTGAGGCCTAGGCCGGCAGGAATCAAACTGGCACTGCAGAGGCTGCAGAGAGCTTCACAGCGCAGCGCTCAACTGTCTGCATCAGCAGGGAGGCCCTGCTTATGGCATTTTCTTTGGGTGGTGAAAATAGTTTTTTTCTAAACTGTCCTATGTCAATATCATGAACATATTACCTTTATAACGAAGAAAAATAAACAATCAAAAGGCATCTTTTCTGTAATACCCAGGGAATTTTTTTTTGAACTTCTCAAAGTGTCACATTTCAAATATGAAGTTGAAAAAATGATTTGTCCAAATGTATTGATATGGTTAGAAAGTGCTGATCTAATGTAAACCCAGAACCAAAAAAAATGCCTAAATATTGCATAGCAAAAGGATATGGTAAACACAAGTCTCCCCTTAATTTTTAAACAAAGACCCATGGCTGTATGAAGTTGGTGTCTTAGGATACAGAGGGATTATCATCACCAATATATCACACACCCCCTCCAAAAATAAATAAAAAGTCCGTGTCGATTTTTAGAAGAACTTAAACAGTATCTTTAATCCCTGTAAAGGCTGCGTTAAAGTTCTTACTGATATAGTCACAAATGGCCAGTCTCTCAGATAGGCATTAACAAACAAAGAATACTAATGTAACTATTAACTAAAAGAAGGTCCTGCCATCTTCAATTGGGAAACATGCTTCCATGGGCAAGACTCTTTTTTTTTCTTTTTAAAAAAGATTTATTTATTTATTTATGCATACAAGAACTGGGGTACAGGCCACAGGTGTGGGAGGTGAGAGGATTCACCAGACAGAGTGGGGAGCAGAACAGGTGTACTGATTGAAATACACTGCTGAGGGGAGCATTCGACGAGACAGAAGAGGTCTGCTGTGCCATGTGGATTAGCTCCCTAGCTGGGGATCGAACTTGTGCTGCAGTGGCTGCGGATCCTTCATAGGTTGTGTCTTAACCCCTTGCGCCACCAGGGAGGCCCAGAATAAGACTCTTTCCATCCCCAGTAACTGTGTGGTAAAATAAAAAATTAAAAAGTGACATGCAGCTACATCTTCTATACAATGAAAGCATTATGCTCTAATTTAAATGTAAAATCATCCTGTAAATGCGTAGCAATGAATTATATTAGAATTCACTAGAAAGGGATTGCCTTTGACTGAATGAAATTTTAAGAGCAATAATAACTCCATTGTATTTTTTTTAAGATTTATTTATTTATTTATACAATCACTGAGTACAGTCAGAAGTGCGGGAGGGTGAGAGAATTCACCAGAGCCAGAACGGGGAGCAGCGCAGGCAGAAGGACCGAAGTACACTGCTGAGGGGTGCAGCGGGAGGCAGGAGAGGTCTGCGCGCCATGTGGGACCCTCCTCCGGTGACCGGGAGCAGCCGGGGATTGAACCGGCGCTGCAGAGGCCACGGGCAGCTTCGCAACCCAGCGCTCAACCGCTGTGCCACCGGGGAGGCCCTCCATTGTATTTTTTATATTAAAAAAGCACAATCTCGTGCAGAGGCAAAGGTGTTTAAAGATACCTTTAAAACATGACTATTAGATGGGGTTTAAAAAGCAAACAGTCACTAGGACATGTTGATATATACTTATAATGAAGTGCAAAAATTGTGGACTGACAGTCTCATAAAATCTTTGAATGGAGGTTTATGCAAATGTTTTTATTCTTGAAGAAAGGCACAAAATTTATCATGTTTAGCAAATCACAAAATAACAAAGCAAACCCATTAGAATATACCCAAAGCTCTTCAGTGCTATAGTTATTTATTGAGAAAGTGACTACCAAAAAAATGCCTGCATGAAAATAGTATATTTTGTTGTGATAGGGACAGGGAGTCATATTAATCATTTTCTAAAATGCAAGGTAGACAGGGTATATCAAAAGTTTATAATAGTACATTGTGGTATAATGTTATTTAGTTCCAAAACAAATTTGTGTTTTGAAAGTAGTTTGTGGTTTGAACTTAATTTTTTTTGATGAAATTACTTTAATGTTGGTTGTTAAGACTGTCTTATCAATATGGAAATATGCAGGATGCTGTCAGCTAAATTGTGCTATTGAGTGCTTGACAAGAGCAAAGTACATCACTGATGTACAGCATCCATCACGTGACTGTCATTTTTAACTTTAAAGATCCAAAGAGTGTGAGGACTTATTTAGAATGCACAGTCTGGGTAAGGCTACTATTTGCTGATTTAAATAGCAGCAGTCTGAGGAAGATCTAGAGACACTCGCTCCTGTCTTGATGAGAGACTCCTGCAGACAGTTGTGCTAACTGTGCAGTGGTTTCAGGGACATGGGGGTGTCTGTTTCTTGCCTGGGCAAGCTACTCTTTTCAAGTAGGAGCTCAAGCCTTGTAACTGTGCCTTCATAGCAGACTGTCATGCCTGCCAATGTGGTGTGTATGCCCACTAGCTCTGTAATGCAGCAGGGAGGGAGCTAAGCTATCAGTTGAAAGCACTGACTCTCCCCAGTACCAGCTTGTAGAAAGGTAAACCTCAACTAAATATGGACTTTGTTTCTTTCATCTCCCTTCTGTCTGGAAAAACACCATAAGCAATCCATTCTTAGTTTGGATTATATTCTTTCTGTACTGACTAGATATTATCCTGTATGCTACTGACTTGAAATGTTATTATTATAGATTATTTATCTGACAGTGAATCTATATTAAATAAATCATTGGCAAAGACAATCTCAGTCTTTTAGCAATAATGTCTGCTTCCCCTGCAAACAAAACAAAACATAAATCAACTCATATAACTTTATTAAGATCTTAGCAAAGTAGGTTTTCAGGAGTACCAATTTTTAAATTTTGCAACAGTTGGACATATAGCATGAATACACAATTTAAAGATTGACCCACATTTTACATGAAGATAAGATAAAGCAAATTGTCAGTAACTTTATTCTAGAAGGATTTTGGCATTATCTTGATTTTTGTGACATCAATGTCTATTATCATAACTACAAAAACAAAAAAAATAGAAAAGATCAGGAAAGTACTCATGAGTTGCCACTTTCATTTTACCTCTAACACTCTGCTTCCCCTGCCCCCTCAACACACATTCTCTGACTCAGAGACTATTTGGAGAGGGCACCTGTTTTAAATGGACACACAGGAAATACCTATGTGGACTTTTCAGTCTGACCCTACATCTTGGTTGGCTGAAATGTGATCATGATTTAAAAAAAAAAAAATTGCTGCCCACAGACTGATGCAACTTGTGTGACAACATTTACTGGAAGCTTAAGTTTATATTTATTTTCCTTCCATTCAACCCTGGATTGTAGTGTAGGAAAAAAATAAGCCAAAGGGCAACACCAGTTTAACCCTCAAAAAATTAGTATTAAATTCCCCACACAGATTTAACATTCCAACTCACAATGATTCATTTTAAGCTGTATGTTATCTTAAGAAGCAGAAAGTTGTCTGCCATATCCATCTTTAAAAACTTTATCTATAAACTGTTGAAAATTCAATGTCTTGTTTTCTTATATATCGACAGGATATTTATTACCTCCCTTGTGAATAAATGCAAGGCAGTGTGTCCCCTGGACTAGAATTTATAAGGGGATTTCAGGCTAATTAGCAGCAGTCTACGGAATACCCAGTGGGGTCCAATACAACGCAAACCACTCAGAGAGACGGGCTGGAGGTTTACACCCCAGGTTCACGCCTGCACCCGCCCCTAGGCTCAGAGCACCCCACTTGGCCACCAGCCACTACCCCAAGGAGCTCTGCCTCAGTTCCCTGGGCTGGAAAGTGTTGACCTTGAGGTCACCTCCCTCACGGCAGGTTTCCAGTCTGGCCCTCGCCCCCGCCTGGCCTCGCCCAGGCCAGAACCACAGGCCACGGCTCCGCAGCTCCGCGAGCATTTTCCAGCCCCGGGCGCACGCGGAGGCCGAACGCCCACCGTCCCGGGGCGCCTGCGGGGCTCCCCCGGCCGCGTCCCCCCGGACCCGCGAAGGCCAGGGCAGAATGACGAGGATGACGACAGAGCTGACGCCACGGCTCCGGGCCCGGGCCGCCGGGACTGCCCGCCGACGCCGCCCCGCCCGCGCAGGTCGCCCGGCGCTCGCGGTCGCGCGGGTCCCGCGGGGCGCACCCGCCGCCCCTCCCCGCCGCGCCCCGCCCCCCGCCGGCCGCGCCCCTCTTCCCACGGCGCCCGCCCTTGCGCGCCCCGCGCCTCCGGCCCGCCCTCCTCGCCGCCTGGCCCGCCCGGCCTTGGGGGAACATGGCGCTCGTCCCCTGTCAGGTGCTGCGGGTGGCCATCCTGCTGTCCTACTGCTCCATCCTGTGCAACTACAAGGCCATCGAAATGCCCTCGCATCAGACCTACGGAGGGAGCTGGAAATTCCTGACGTTCATTGATCTGGTAAGGCCATACTCTTCCCTCCCCCGCCCTCCCTGCACCCCACCCTGTGTGTATTTGTGGGCGCACGAGCACCTGCGCGCGTGCGCGCCTCCAGCAGCTACCCGGTTCCTCGCCTCTTCCGCAGTGGTTGCATCTAAAGGCCTGGCTGCCTCCGTGGCAGCATCTTCGGAACCACCCAGTGGTGCCTGGTAGCTGGGGCACGTGTGTAGGTGGGGCGCAGCGGGTGGTGGGCTGTTTGGAGGGGAACACAGATCTGCTTCTGAGAGGTGACACTGGAAGATTCTCAACTAAGCAAACAGATCGACGACCTTTCATCAAGAATGAACTCTGACCCTTTCACCTTCACCCACAAGGTGCTTGCCAGAACATCCACCGTGGGATCAAGTTGCAACAGAAGGGAGCTGGGTATTGCCAAATTAGTTGGTACTGCCTCTGAAAGGACCAAAATCTTCCTGATAAAGAAGAGAAAGCATTTAATAAAGTCTTCTTTGCGTCTGTTTTTCCCCATTGTCAGTGATTTACTTCCAAACTCCTCCCACCGCCCCCAAACCACTGGGGAGAGAGATTTTCAAACTGCATCCCTGTAGGGCTTTGTAGTCTTTGTCTACCCACGTGAACATTTTCAGTCATTGCATAAGCAACTCCTCAGTTGGCCTTGGACCTAGGCAATTGAAATTATTTCTTGGTTACCTTTTTAAAAATATTTGTCCATTCCTGGTACTAAAAGGGCCAGAGAATCGAAGCTTCAGCCTGAGGATCATGATGATATATAGGGTGGAAGTTAGGAACTTCAGGGTGAAAGTAATTCATTTACTGGGTCAGACACACTGAATGATGATCAAATAGAGATAGAGAGTGAAAGCTAAATCGTCCAGTTCTAGGGACTAGAGAAAATGTAGCATCAGTTCCTAGGATGCTAGAACTGTCTGTCCAAGATCATACACCAGCTTGGCTGCACAAGATCAAAATGATCTTCCATTTTGATCAAGAGAACATGATACCTGGAAATATACTCACAGGGGTTTTGCTTAGAAATACCATCTTGTATTTGTATTATATTTGATGCTTTCAGAGAGGAATTTAAGTTCCTTTCATGTGCACAGAACCTGGGCCACACAAGATTTCCCAGGGTATAGAGTGTTTCAAGGGTTTCAATTTTCAGATGCTCATCTTCCATCTCTCTCTCTTTTTTTTTTTTTAATTGAAAATGATCCGCCACTGATGGTGGGTGATGTCTGCCAGTTTTCCTTGCTTCCCATTCATGTGAGAGGAGCACATGACCAGACTCTGTACTGTATTAATCTGTTCCTTTTGACAGTCAGAACATAGTTGTCACTAGGATTACCTTCATGTTTGATTGAACGATGAAGTTAGAGTTGTTTTCACAAAGTCTTATTGGGTCGATTGGCTTGTCAGTGAGAATTGGTTCTGCCAATGATGTTTATCGTGGACATTTGCCATCAATGGAGCTAAATCTGCACCCCTGAGTTTCTGATAAATATGAATCAGAAAATTCTAAATCACATCTCATTTTCAAAAGTCAAACTTAGTGTTTAGATATTACTGAAAAACATGTGAGTAGATTTTCAAAATTCTTTCAGGAACAAGGTGAATAAAATTCCTTTGAGGTCACTGCCTTATCTCATTCCTCTGCTAGACCTCAGTTAGAGGTGGTCGGTCCATTCAGTTGTTGCCAAGGAGCAATACTGAGCTAAATAGTTGGTGGTGACCCCACCAGAGCCACAGGGACTATAAACAGTTCTCAGAGCAGCAAAGTGTTAGGTAGCTTAGGGGTCAGCAGGTGAGAGGGGTAGAAATTGGTCCGCCCAGACCAGTATTGGTTTACCCAGAAAAGATAACTACTTCTCAGTTAGCTTTGCTTACTGTGTGAGCCTTACAAGTCTCACATGAAATAATATATTTTTCATAACCTTTACTTGACATGAAATATAGCAATTTGACTCTTTAAACTATCAGATGGCTTGTATTTATATAACACTTGATGACTGGAATTGCGTATCTTAAATAATACTAATCACCATAAACAGACTCTTGGCTACCAGAATTTGGGGCACAAATTCAAATTTGAAACTTTTACTTTGTCTCTTATTTAGAATACAGTGGTATAGAGGATTCAGCCCCTTCAGAATTTTTGCTCTTGGTGGCTCTTGATTAGAACATAATAGTTAGCATTAACCAGGAGTTTCTGTGAGAAAGCATTTCAAAAATATATTCATAAAAATAGTTGAAGTTTTTTTACTTATTATTATTATTAGAAGTTTACAGTCTTTAGAGCTTATGCCTTGTACAGGTGTTAAAACAACCAACCTGTCAATCCCTAGCAATAGCATGGGAAAATTAAACTATTATAACTTAACTTTTTAGTTAACTTGTAACTTTTTAAAATGTTTGACTTTTCAAGGTTTTTAATGATTAAAAATGATATAGAATGTATAATTGGTGCCTTATAATTCTAATCTTTTAATAATTCTAAGCTTATTAGAGTAGTTTTGAAAGAGAGTTTAGCTTCTTAAAATTTTAATGAGAAGGGCTTTTCTTTATAGCTAACTTGGATTGCAGAGTCAGGGAATACATTCTAGTGGCCACAGTCCAATTCCATGTTCTATGGCATCAGTTTACCAATCTTTAAAAAAAAAAAAAAGAAAAGAAAATAGGGTGATTATTCTGAATTATTCAGGTGGTGCCAGTGTAATCACAGGAGTTCTTAAAAGGGAGGGAGCAGAAGAGTCAGAGGAAGATATGACATGAAAGATATCACAGAAATATGACATTGTTGGCTTTGAAGATGGATGAAGGGGCTGAGAGCCAAGGCATGAAGGAGGTATCTCAAAGTTAAAAGGACAAGGAAAGTTTCACCTTGAGCCTCCAGAAGTATCATGGCCTTTATGATATCTTGGTTAGCCCTGTGAGACCTGTTTTGGATTTCTGATTTCCAGAATGATAAAATAGCAAATGTGTGTCATTTAAACCACTGAATTTATGGCAGATTGTTACAGCAGCAATAGAAAATGAGTATCCTTGGCTTTAAATTCGCTAACCTAGAAAAAAAAAAATGTTGTACTTACGTAGTGATTCAACCTGGTTTTTTATATATATTAGATAACTTTTTAATTTTACCCTTAACTAAAATACAGATTTTTGCCTATTTCATCTCTTAAACTCTGCAGAAGGGACATAGATGTAACAATGGATGATATGACCATCTATAAAACTAAACAACTTTGGAAAAGCTAGGTCTTTTCCTTACCATGAAGCAATTTAAATATTGCTATATACAACATGCCTTGCCAGGAGAAAGAATACTCCTAACAGGAAATAAGCTGGGAAGAAAGAAAATTTAAGCTAACTGATGTTCAAATTATTTCCTTAACCAACATCACAGCAAATGAATTTTCTTCAAATGATGCAGATTTGAACATTTATTCACTAAGGATAATTCCTCAAGTTACATAATAATTGTCCCCAAGGATAATAAAAATGAGTATTCAGAATAAAAGCAGCATATATACGTATATATACAAAAGTGTATCTGTGCGTTTGAGTGTGTGTATGAAAAAAAAGGCAACTGTATATTAAGACCTCAAAATAGCACTGGTGTATAATAGATATTTAATAATCATCTGGCTATATGGCAGCTTCCCAAATTTTCAATGTTCTATTTCTTCTTAAAACATTAAAAAATAGAGGGATTTTTGAAATACATCAACCAAGACTTTCTTCAAATATATATGGTTGAATATCTAACACACAAAACAGAATCAACTTCTCTGAAAAATGTGAACTGGACATTGGTCATTAAAAACTAAATTAATAGGTAAATTAATAGATGTTGGATTTAAGATGGTTTGCTTTTTAAAGATAGAAAAAACAAGATGAGTACCCCATTTGCTCTAGCTAATGGGACTCCCCAGTTTGAGAGTTGTCATGTTGTAGGGTTCTATTGAGCTCACTATTTCTCTTGTACTGACTTTTCATTCACACATTAGTAGAGTATTGTTAAAGCCCTTCCTTCTCAAAGTGTGGCCTGAGGACCAGCAGGATAGACCTTTTCTGGGAGCCTGTTGGAAAAGTGGAACCTCCAGCCCCACCCAGACCTCCTGAATCAGATGCTAAACTTTAGCAAAATCTTTAGGAGATTCTTCTGTGCATTCTGGTGTGACAAATACTGCTCTAGGCCACAGTGCTTTCGATTCATAATTTCATCTAAAATGGTTTGTAGGACACAGTCTCAATATATTAATTCTATTAACTATATATTTAAGGTGACTTTTGCTAACAATGTAATTAAAAACATGTAAAAAGTTACAACTTAAAAAAAAGAAAAATTATGTATTAGGCACCAGGGAGAAGTTATTTCATGCACTTGAAGGACAAATTTAGCTAGTCTTCAGGGTAACCAAGGTGAAAAGGCGTACATATTTGACTGCCTTGTCCTTAGTGTCATAATAAAGGAAACATAGCCATTTATTAGGAAATATATGCTTCTTTCCAAGCACTGATTTTTTTCAAGGTTTTTATAACTTAAATCACCATACCAAGAACACCGGTAGTATATTAGATTTATGCCTTTGATTGGTGTTTAGCAGAATAGATAGAAATATTCATATAGCTGATATTTCTTATATCGTGATTGTACAAAAGTCAAACATGGTCTTTTATTTTGACTGGGTAAAGGTTTTTGTAGAGGTTTAAGGTAATATAATCTAAGTACTTATTTTTATCTAAATCCCTATTGCAGAAGAATTTAAGAAAACCACAGAGGGAGCAGGATAAATAAAGGCCTAGATGTGGAAAAGCTTGGGGTGTTCAAAGAGCAGGAAATGGTCAAATATACCTGGAGGATATATTTTTTGCTTTTAGACATACTAAGAATTTTTGACATTTAAAAAATGTTCAAAAGGCAGAATAAACTGCTTAAGGATACTATATAATACATTTGAGCTTGTCTTATATTTACTTATATACTTATTATAAAATAC